GCTGGGGAGCCAGGGCCAGCCACGGCTTCTCTGGGCACCCTGTGCCAGGGCCTCAGCACCCTCACAGGGAAGAATTTCTTCCTTAGATCTCATCTCAGTCTCCCCTCTTTCAGCTTAAGGCCACTCCCCTTGTCCTGTCACTTCCTGCCCTTGTCAACAGTCCCTCACCAGCTTTTTCTTTTGTAGGAGAAGAAAAGGCTATTTGGTCACAACACAAAAATGCACCTGGGGAAGGAAAAATCCAGCTGCTTTATAGGGCTCCTACTAAGCACTGCAATGTTTATTGCAGTTAGGGCTGAGTTTATTCGCATTTAGAAATTAGGCCTCAGTGCAGATGTTCTGAACTGCCCAGCCCTGGAGAGGTTCCCCAGAGCAGAGGCAGACCGGTCACCCCCACACCACCCAGTTAGACTGGACCCTGTTTGGCAGGGGGGGTTGGAGCAGGGGGAGACTCAGGCAAGAGACACAGGCAGCGGCCAGACAACAAGGCACAAGCCAGCAGCCTGGACACCCCTGTTCAGGAACAGCACCAAGCCCGGGGTTCTCAAGCACTTCCTCTGACATCTAGAACCATGAGTCAGATCTAGGTCTTGGATGGTAACAAACCTCAGGATGATGCTCCCGGGGCAGCACGGCTGCTGACATCTCCCAGGCAGTAAAACACCTTCCCACAACCATCCTCCCCTGCCTGCACAGCATGCTCAAGGGCTTGGCAGGGCAGAGCCACTCTTAGGAGAGTGACTTTCCTCAGCCCCGCAGACAGCACGGCAGGAAGAGGTGCTCCTGAAGAAGTCCACAGAGCCGGGCTGGGTGCGTGCCAGCCCAAGCAGGCAGCATGCTGGCCGCCACTCTCCACAGACAAGGCAGACGACCGCGTAGAAAGCCTGGCAAGAGACATGGACTCTGGCCTCCTCGGCTGTCGGTCCAGGGGAAGAATCTCTCTCCACACCCAGTTCTGGCCTCCAGCGATGAACAATTAGTGGAACTTAACAACTGTCTGCAGGAGACCTACAGATGGCTAGCTGCTCTGGGGCAGAGGAGGCAGCAGGAAGCACGAATGTCCACTGGGGTCAGAGCATTGTTTCTATCAGGGATGTCGGGGCAGACCCATCACAGCAGCCAGAGCAGCCCCCTGCAAGGGTCTGTGCTCAGGGGCTGCTGCAGCCTCTGGCAGGACACCACAGAGCCAGCTGGGTCGCGAGTGTCTCAGCCTCCCTGTCAGGACACTCTCCAAAGCAAGCTGCGACCTTGCAGGGAAGCTGCAGACAGACCGCTTGGCTGATCAAAAGGGCGCAGCACTCCTTGGGCCTCCCTGTTCCAGTGCCCAAAGCAGATGCGTCTCCTCCCCAAAAACCTCCCCATCCCTCTACCAGCTACTGCCTCTCCAGCACGAGATACCCTCCCCTAATTCCTGCACTGCTGGAGGCAGGATCACCCTGATGCCAGGTAGGCAGGGGAACTCTACCTTTCTTTTCCTACCTGAGGAGCTTTACTGTCCCCCTGCAGACCAGGGCTCACCCTCGCAGCTTCCTCACTGCTTGGCCTCCTCCTGCAAGTCATCCGCTGACTGTTCAGCTCCAAGATGCGGGTGGTGATGCCTTTGACATGGAGAAGATCATCAAGTGAGTTGAAGCCCTTCAGTTCCTGTGAGAAGAGAAGTAAGATTCAAGATGGAGCTGAGAAGCCCAGGGACCAGTCTCAAAGCAGGACCAAGCTTTCTCACAGCCTCCTCAGAAGGGCTCTCTTTCCCAGATGGTCCAGACCCACCAGCCCCCTTTAGGCCTTCAGGGGAAGGGGGCCAGGATGCCACAGCAGGGCGGTACCTCTGTACTGCAAGTCCTCACTGCTGCTCCCATCCAAGGGAAGGGATGTTCTCTGCCCAAAACAGCTGTTCCCATGTAATCCTCTCATTTCCACAAACTTTCCCTGCCCTATGCCTGCAAGGAACAGGCAACCAGAGCTGCTACTAACAAGGGGACTAGCAGCCCAAAAGCAAAGGCCAAAAGCTCAGAAAGGGGAATTGTGCCTTCCAGCTCACTAGTACCAAGACTGGGAGCACTCCCTGGCCCACACAGCCAATCTCCCTTGTCTGCAGCTCCACGGAATGAGAACATCCCTGCCTCCCGCCAGGCACACACAGACACACGTGTGTGTGTGAACGCAAGGCACCCACCATCCTGCAAAACACCAGGTCAAGTACTGCCTAGCCCTGCGCTCAAAACCACGCGTTACCACCCATCGTACAGACTCCAGGCAGCTTCTGCCACAAGCCTGAAGGGCCTAAACCCAACAGGGAAGGCCTGGCTATTACCACAGGGCAGGATCCCAGGGTGGAAAGATCCACCCTGCCTGGCTAATAGAGACAGGGTTCCAATCATCCTTTCAAATTTGTCACACGTCCCTTTAAGGCACTCCTGCTGCTTCTCCCCTATAAAGAGTTTTACCCAAAAGCACAGCTCTAGTGATAAAACCTATTTCTGTCAACCCACCCTCACCTGTTCTCCTACCAGCAGTCCTTTTGTTTAAATCTCTCTTGGTCTTCTGCCTCCACAGTGTTTACATTCCAGCTGTATTTATAGCTGGTCACCCTGCCCCTCTCAGCCTCCTCTTTTCCAGGCCAAAAAAAGTCAAGCTCTTCTAGTCTCGCCTTGCCAAGCCAGCCTCCCCTTTCCCCGATTCCTTCTGCCTCGCTCCTCTGCCTGCTTCAACACGGATGCTATATTCCAACCATGATCCCACCAAGTTCTCCATGGCATTAATGGCAGACAAGTGGCATCGATCTTCCTGTCTCTTCTAAAAGCACCACAGCGGATACAGCCCAAGATCACGCTTACCTTTTTCATGGCTGTGTCACACTGGTAGCTCAGTCATCAGGCAGGCTGTTCTCCTGCTCTGTCATTTCCAGATGACAGAGCTAAACAGTCAATCAAGGGGGAGCAGCAGGATTCCCAGCCCACGGTGACCACACCAGACAGGCTTCTACGCCTTCCTGCTCCTGCCCGTTCCACCCAGGAACTCGGTTTTTTCTGCTCTTAGCACGCAACGTCATCTGCCACCAGCCCCCGAGGCTCTGCCCCAAATCCCAGAAACAAGGAAGCTGCAGAGCTGGGCAGGCCCGCCCGCAGAAGGGAAGAGCCGACGCCG